TGCGCAAGCAGAGAGATGACAATCTCACTCTATCCTGCTGGCAAACTGGGCTTTGTAGCCGGCGACGGGGCTTATTAGCCGGCGGATTTTGCTATGAAAATTCCGTCCCAATTTGGGCTTAATACGCGGCTGGGCCTATTAACCGTGGGCTTAATAACCGGTAACTACTGTATAAGAGTTTGGCCTCGTATGAGCCAGTAGTAGCAGTAGCCAGCAGTAAACGTTGACGGAATACCCTGTGGAGAGTAAAAGCGGCCGAGTAGCAAACCTGTATCTGCTGGCCGTTGTGGCCAGGGGGGCTTTGTGGCCTCGCAGCATCGGAACGCCTGAAAATCCACGAGCATGTTCGGCAAGCAACATGTAATTCACGCAGAAGCGCAGTGATTACGGATAGTATATCAAGCATGAGCTAGCCATCTGTGAGGAAAATACTTAGTATTTTTCGTGTATTCAAATACTAACTATCAGTGTGTTCCAATTGGAGCGATCAAGGTGTATCAGTAATGTAAACGTAAGGCTCCTATTCAGACTTGTAATCTTTTCTTAAAGCATACCGTTGAACGTGTAAGTGGACTTTTTTAAACGAGATAGGCCTAGACCCATCTCTGTCAAAATTTGGTGAACATGAGAGTGTCCCAGCGTGTCTGCCTCTATGTGTGGGAGAGAGATGACGCTTACTTTTACATGTTGCGAGTGGCGAGTTCAAGTGTTGAGCTATTGGTGTGTCGCATTGCCCGAGGGCGTGCCGCCTGTTGAGGCCCCTGCTGCGTTGTCTGGGTTGAAATTAACAAGCAGTTGGACACGTGTGTGCGCGCACGTGTGTTGGCGGGTGGATGTTGGTCAAGGGTTTTTAGGTCAGCATGTCGGAAACAGCTGTCTTCGAAAATGCCTGACGTTGGGGGCAGTGGGCATTGAACGAGGAAATCGGACAGCATTGTTGTATGCCCGCCGCAGATCTAAAGGAATGGGGATATTCCTGAGTGAAGTCGCCAAAGTTGGAGGAAATAGAGACGAATGCTCTGTTAATTTTTACGGTTAGACTGCGCAATCTGTGTTCAGTTATCGCAGTTATTTATCTCGACGGTACGCGTCAGCATAGTTTGTGCATATTTATGGCCATTTCCAGCGTTAATGAGTATCTCGAAATATGGCTGTTTATTAATTTCATATGACTGCTGAATTCAGCTATGGCTCGCATGTGGGTGTAACGAGACAACGATCCAAACTATTGTGGGTCGTTAAATTGATTGGATAAAATTCCCTATCGATGTTAAAGGTAGGTGAGGGTGGGGAGTTGATATGGTTACCAAGTGATGACAAACATTTTCGCGATATCAGCCTGGAGCGGAAAGACGACGCCAAGCAAAACAATGATGAGATAGGATGTAGGGTATGACCCAACGCGAAGTCCTCTCTACACGTACCATGACATTGCCCGTTCACCCCTACATTCCCAACCACATTACACTAA